CCCCAAAACCCCAAAACCCCAAAACCCCAAAACCCCTTATTAATGTAATATAATTGAAAACACGAGCAATGGAAAACGAGACTCAGACTAAGAAGTTAGGTAAGCCTCTTTGATAAGTCTATTTATCACCAAGCCTAGCCTGTGGCTAATGGCATCTTAGAATCCTCCTAACTTTATTATAGTTGACGATTCAGAGGTTACTAAGCTTGAAAATACTAAAGAAGAAGAAAAAGACACTGAAATGAATCCTAAGGGAGAAGTCCCAGCCCTTGCAGAGGCTCATGATGATCAAACTGAACTTACCAAAGAAGACAAAGAGAGCTTAATGAAATTTGAGACTCTCAATAACCAAGAAATCGAGTTTGATAAAGCTAAAATTGGACAAAAGAAGAAAACTGAGTTCAGAAGAATTCCTGTTCCACTTCATCGTTATACCCCTTTGAGAAGTAACTGGGAGACCATCCTTAAGACACTTGTAAAGCACATGAAATTACTTGTAAGAATGAACACAAGAAGAAGAGCAGTCGAAATTAAAACTACTAAAGAAGTTAGAGATCAGGGAGTCATCCAGAAAGCTGCTGATTTCCTCAAAGCATTCATGCTCGGCTTTGAGCTCCAAGATGCTGTTGCCATTCTTAGACTTGAAGACTTGCATATTCAAACCTTCGAAATTAAGGATGTAAAAATTCTCAGAAACGATCACTTGCCAAGATGTATTGGTCGTATATGCGGAGAAAAAGGAAAGACAAAGAACGCGATTGAAAATGCAACAAGGACTAGAATAGTAGTGGCTGATACACGCATTCACATTCTTGGATCTTTTGCCAATATTCAATTCGCCAAATCAGCAGTATGAAATCTGATCATGGGATCTCCTCCAGGAAAAGTCTATTCCAAGCTGAGAAATATTTCTCGTAGAATCAATGAAAGGATGTAGGAACTTTCTGAAAATAAAATGCCAAGATTATTAATGTTTCAACCTAATGATTACCCATTGGGGTTTTGGGGTTTTGGGGTTTTGGGGTTTTGGGGTTTTGGGG